TACAGCTCTTCAGTGGTTAGCTCTTCCCTGTGGTCGTCCATCAACTCTTCCACATCTTGGCCACTCACATCCAACCCCATGGACTTTCCCAGACACAAACCCTACAAAATCATAAATGCATGGGATGCTTTGCGTGACCACTCGATTCCGGGAAATGAGTGGCAGAGTCACAAAGGCAGGCGGACAAGTTTGGTACGGACCATTTTCAAGTGTACAAAAACCGAGCAGATGTACGAAAGCTGGAACAAAATTTTGACAAAAAAAAAGTCATCGAAAACCGAATCGCACGAAAACTAGGGCATATGAAAACCAAAGTTCCACCATAACTTGAATTGCCATAAACTTAATGTTCTTATGTTCTCTAACAACTAAAAATGAAAACCTAAAACCCAGCAAAAGACTAAAATATTTATTTAATACAGTGGACCCTCAGTTAACGACATTAATCCGTTCCAGAGAGCTTGTCTTTAACCGATTCTGTCATTATCTGAATCAATTTTCCTCATAAGAAATAATGGAAATCCAATTAATCCATTCCAGACACCCAAAAGTATTAAACAAAATATTTTTTTACATAAAATATACATTTCCCTACACAGAAAATAATGAGACATGCACAATAAACAATACAAAAATGACACTTACCTTTATTGACGACTTATTAATGAGTGATGAGATGGGAGGAGGGGAGAGGATAGAGGTGTACTATTGTTTAGAATGGGAATCCCCTTCCATAAAGACTTCAGGTACCAAGTCCTTTTCTGGGGTTACTTCCTTTCTTTGTTTTTTAATGCCACTAGGACCAGCTTAAGAGTCACTGCACACCTGCGGCACTAAATATCTGTCCAAAGAGCTCTGTTTCTGGCATCTCTTCAAAATTTCCCTAAAATGGGACACAACATTGTTATTGTAGATGTTGCCAGCACGGCCTGCAACAGCTGTGTCATGGTGATGTTAATCCATAAATGTTTGCACATAAGAAAGCAGGAACACTGCAGCAGGCCTGTTGGCCCATACTTGGCAGGTCCTTCACAAACCATCCCACTAACAGAATCGTGTTTGCCCAACCCAATTTTTCAATGGTTCCCAAGCAATAAGCTTTGATAATTCTATTCACTCATGTACAAGTCCCACTCAAATCAAATCATGTGTGTGGGGAAGTACCCTGGCTGGTATGTGGGGAAGTACCCTGGCTGGTATGTGGGAAAGTACCCTGGTGGGTGTATGGGGAAGTACCCTGGCTGGTATGTGGGGAAGTACCCTGGCTGGTATGTGGGGAAGTACCCCAGCTGGTATGTGGGGAAGTACCCTGGCTGGTATGTGGGGAAGTACCCTGGCTGGTATGTGGGAAAGTACCCTGGTGGGTGTATGGGGAAGTACCCTGGCTGGTATGTGGGGAAGTACCCTGGCTGGTATGTGGGGAAGTACCCTGGCTGGTATGTGGGGAAGTACCCTGGCTGGTATGTGGGAAAGTACCCTGGTGGGTGTGTGGGGAAGTACCCTGGCTGGTATGTGGGGAAGTACCCTGGCTGGTATGTGGGGAAGTACCCTGGCTGGTATGTGGAGAAGTACCCTGGCTGGTGTGGGGAAGTACCCTGGCTGGTATGTGGGGAAGTACTCTGGCTGGTATGTGGGGAAGTACCCTGGCTGGTATGTGGGGAAGTACCCTGGCTGGTATGTGGGGAAGTACCCTGGCTGGTATGTGGGGAAGTACCCTGGCTGGTGTGTGGGGAAGTACCCTGGTGGGTATGTGGGAAAGTACCCTGGCTGGTGTGTGGGGAAGTACCCTGGCTGGTATGTGGGGAAGTACCCTGGCTGTTGTGTGGGAAAGTACCCTGGTGGGTGTGTGGGGAAGTACCCTGGCTGGTATGTGGGGAAGTACCCTGGCTGGTGTGTGGGGAAGTACCCTGGTGGGTGTGTGGGGAAGTACCCTGGCTGTATGTGGGAAGTACCTGTGGGTGTGTGGGAAGTACCCTGGCTGGTATGTGGGGAAGTACCCTGGCTGGTATGTGGGGAAGTACCCTGGCTGGTATGTGGGGAAGTACCCTGGCTGGTATGTGGGGAAGTAACCTGGCTGGTATGTGGGGAAGTACCCTGGCTGGTATGTGGGGAAGTACCCTGGCTGGTATGTGGGGAAGTACCCTGGCTGGTATGTGGGGAAGTACCCTGGCTGGTATATGGGAAAGTACCCTGGCTGGTATGTGGGGAAGTACCCTGGCTGGTATGTGGGGAAGTACCCTGGCTGGTGTGTGGGGAAGTACCCTGGCTGGTGTGTGGGGAAGTACCCTGGCTGGTATGTGGGGAAGTAACCTGGCTGGTATATGGGGAAGTACCCTGGCTGGTATGTGGGGAAGTACCCTGGCTGGTATGTGGGGAAGTACCCTGGCTGGTATGTGGGGAAGTACCCTGGCTGGTATGTGGGGAAGTACCCTGGCTGGTATGTGGGGAAGTACCCTGGCTGGTATATGGGGAAGTACCCTGGCTGGTATGTGGGGAAGTACCCTGGCTGGTATGTGGGGAAGTACCCTGGCTGGTATGTGGGGAAGTACCCTGGCTGGTGTGTGGGGAAGTACCCTGGCTGGTATGTGGGGAAGTACCCTGGCTGGTATGTGGGGAAGTACCCTGGCTGGTGTACCACCATCACTACCACCACCACTTTCGTATCTTTCTACCAACTTTTTCTTGAACTCTATAGTGTTTCTCACCCTCTTTACCAAGGGCTGGCACTAGAAGCTTTCTTTGGCCCCAGGGTGGTTTATTTAGCAGTTACAAGCACTAAAAACAACGGAATAATACAAAATGTATCGCATGTACGTGTGGAATCGTCCTCACTGGCTTGTAAACAATGGCACACTGGCTGTACATGGAGTGGCCAGGCCGCTCTCGGTGCGCGGACACATTCGGGACAAATGACTTTAACCAAGTTCTTTGTCTTTAACTGACCCAATATTTTGACACAAAAACGTGTTGTTATCTGATTTTTACGTTATCCAATGACGTCGTTAAGTAAGGGTCCACTGTAAAAGATTATTTAGAATACTGTAATTATCATTTCATTCATTCAGTAACCTTCATTTACTCTTTGAATGTACACCTTACGTAAGAACATGCTTTCATTCTGTAAGTTTATAACATCTAAAAACAACATTTTGCTCATAATTAAAGTCTTTGTTTTGATACATAATGCACAGCTTTGAAGAAAAGAGTTCTTAAACCTACATCTTTCTTCATTACTTCCTTTAATTCTTACACTCCAATTTCAATTTTCTCTTTAATTTCTCTTCACTTAACCTAATCTCAAAAAATACACTATATAATAGTGGAGTTTATATGTGAATAATGAGTACAATTTATAAGCTGGCTGCCGGGTTCACCTGCTGTCCCTGCATGCCACCTACACCAAATTAATGCTTCACACTTGCACTTTTTTTCTTTTTTTTTTTTGCCAGATCAGCAGTCTCCCACCAAAGGAGGATCCCCCCCCCCCCCCCCAAAAAAAAGAGGAAGTATTCACCAACATTCCTTCAAAAGCTGCTTTGCCAGAAATGTGCAGACTTCGCAATTCAACTGACCCTCTGAAATATAACATCCTCATCCCTCCTTCAGAGTGCAGGTATTGTACTTCCCACTTCCAGGATTTAACTCTAGTTAACTGCACAGATGTTACCTTGCTTACATTCCAAGGGCACATTAAAGCCCTAAAATCTGTAGTCTCCACCTACCTTGATCTAACAAGGTCACACATTTCCTAGATGTTCATGCCCCTACGACTTACAACCTCCTTCACACCCTTCCTCCAACCCTTCCTACACAACCCCCACTCCTTGTTCCTTCCACCCCAGATTTATACACCATCTTGGTTAGCCTATTCTGCTCCATTCTCTCTGAATGCCCAAACCATCTCAACAAACTCTATCGCCTAAATAATATCTTTCATAACCCACACAGTCTTCTGATTTATAAGTTCCGAATTCTTTGCATAATAGTTACACCAGACATTGCTCTGAAACCCCCAGCCTCCTCCTAACTCCAATGTTTAAAGCCTATCATTCACACCTGTACAAAAGATGGGTGGTACCACTTATCTGGTACATTCCTTCTTTTCTGGAGCATTCCTTCTGGCACATTCCCTTCTTTCCAATGACACCTCAACACTTAGCCTACCTACCTACCTTCCCAACTTTTTTGGGTTTGTGGCAAAAATACTTTCTTTTCAATCAATATTCTATCAAAATGAGGAACATCTTACACTGCTACTTAGGAAACGATTCACAGTGTAGTTCTGAAAGTTATACAAGTTTTTCATTGCCCAAAGTTCTTCTTACTCACATAATCTTATTCTCTTCTGTGTTTACTAATAATTTCCTTCTTTTACACACCCTCCCAAAATCCTCCACCAAACTTTGCAACTTCTCTTCAGAATTTCCCAAAAGAACTGTCATCAACAATTAATAATTATGAGAACTTCATACGGGATTCACTATCTTTTAATCCCACACATCTTCTAAACACTCAGGCAATTACTTCTTATGCAAACCCATTAATAAAAATATAAACAACCATGGTAATATCACACATCTCTATCCCTGTCTAAGGCCTGCATTTACTGGAAAAAAATATTCTCTTCTCTCCTACATACCCTAAACTAAGCCTCTCTCCTAATAAAAGCTAATAAGCTTTTAGGAATGTATTACCTATTCTGAACAGTTGCAAAATCTGCCACATTGCTCACCTCTTCACATTATCATGTGCTTTTTCTAAATTCATAATGTAGCAAACAGTTTCATACTCTTATGTAAGTATTGTTAGATTACAAGCTTCAATATAAACACTTTATATTTACATTCTCTATCATTCCTAAGTCCTCCTTGTTCCTCTGTAAACCTACTTTCTGTCTTGTCAGCAATTCTTTCAATAATAATTGTATATTACACTTGACTCAGCACAATACACTCAAGAGGCTTATATCCCTGAAGTTCTAAGATGACTGACATGCTTACATTATCTTTGAATATACCCGAGGGTGGTCGTCTTCGTGATGGCCCTTTGGGACGGAGCTGGGTTACATGTTTCAACCTCTCTCCATCTGTGTCCAAAGTTAAGCTTGGCTCATCTGGTTTGTCAGAAAAATCTGAAATAAAAGTACTTTACAGTTTCTATATATGAATTAAAAAATTACAAAACTAAATTGTCTTAAAACTATGAAGCATTAATGAAACATGAAAATGTTTATTTTAACAATTTTCTATCCAACTGAGCTTAAATTTTTTAAACTTTTAAGTTTGTATATGCGCCTGGTTTAACATATTTAGTCAGGAATGGGGCAAAGGCAGGCGAGAGACTGCTACAATGTTTCCTCTAACTAATGGCACACCTTGGATCATTTCACAAGTATAGTAAATGTGATGGTCAGTCAAGAATCCTTGCAGTATCCTTATGTAGCTTTCCAAGTCTCTTTGTACTAATTTTCTTGAATTTTTTGCCCTCCCCATGGAGATGGGAGGAACAATGCCTGCACTCTGAAGGGGTGGGGATATTGCAGTTTAGAGGGGCACCTGTGTCACAATGGTGGCATGCCTCGGCAAGAAAGTTATAGTCAATGATGGAAAAAGTTTTTTTTTTTCTTTGATCACCCTTCCTTAGTGGGGGTCAGCAAGTGTTAAAAAAAAAAATTGCATATTTCCAGCTGGTGTCAAAATATACAGACCACTTTATCTTGTGTGTTCCTGTCTCCATGTGGGTTTTACCTAGCATCAACAAGTGCTCATTATGCTTATACAATAGAGAATCCTTTGTCTGAAATTCCAAAATTCATAAACCTCAAAAATCCAAAAGTTCTCAAGTGTTGACATGACGTGCAACAAATGGATCATTCAATCTGTCAGCAACAATTACTCACTGATTACCACATCATTTGTGCTCTGTGGTATGAAGACATTGTTGAAAATGTTGAAAGGCCTATGGGTAATAGTGAAAAGAAGAAAAAAAAAGCATTTATGTTTATCTACAGTAGACTGTCATTTAGCACAGTAGTTACGCTCCTGAAAATGCCGTGGCAGGTAAAATCATGTTAGATGAACTAAGAACTTACGGGAAAAAGAGGGTTACGTTCCTGGGAGCCCCCAAAAAGCCGAACAACTTCTTTTCAGGCCTCCACATTTTTACAAAAATAAAAGTGACTATGTAGTTGTAGTTCATTGTTGTGATGTATTATGTTGTTTTTACTGCTTAAGACTACAAATGTAACAGAAATAATAGTATTTCTTACCTTAAATTGTGGGTGCTGGTGTTTGTGGATGATTGTGAAGAGAGTGGAGAGTTATGTTGTGGTCCTACTGGGCTGAGGTGGATGGTAGAGGTTCTGGTACTGAAGTTGATGGCTGTACTGGAGTGTCTAAGTCATTCATTCAGTCAGTCAAGTCATTCAGTGAGTCAGTCAGTCAAGTCACTCAGTAAGTCAGTCAAGTCACTCAGTAAATCAGTCAAGTCATTCAGTAAGTCAGTCAGTAAGTTAGTCAAGTCACTCAGTAAGACAGTCAAGTCATTCAGTAAGTCAGTCAAGTCACTCAGTAAGTCAGTCAAGCCACTCAGTAAGTCAGTCAAGCCATTCAATAAGTCAGTCAAGTCACTCAGTAAGTCAGTCAAGTCATCCAGTAAGTCACTCAGTAAGACTGTCAAGTCACTCAGTAAGTCAGTCAAGTCATTCAGTAAGTTAGTCAAGTCACTCAGTAAGTCAGTCAAGTCACTCAGTAAGTCAGTCAAGTCATTCAGTAAGTCAGTCAAGTCACTCAGTAAGTCAGTCAAGTCATTCAGTAAGACAAGTCACTCAGTAAGTCAGTCAGCCATTCAGTCACACAAACTCATGTTTACCTCTTTCTGTGTACAAAGTTACACTTCAGTATAGTTACAGGTTATCTCTTGTCTAATATCTTTGTTTCTTTGTTAATTCTAAGACTTAAGTGCTTATACCTCTTCGTGCCACTTTCAACAACACCGGTATGGCTACTGGGTGTCATGATTGCTTGGCAGATACAAGATACAGTAATTAAAATTTCATAACACAATTCACAAACACAGCTGCCTTGTAGCAGAGAAAGACTGGACACCTATGAATTACGAACTCTGGAATGATGGGGTGGTGTCGGGGAGTGGTAGGGGATGGCAGGAGGGCTCCCCGGCTGCTCCACAAGGTGGCCGCTTGAGCAAAAGATAATTTTTTTTTCTTCCCACAAACTGAACCGTGTTAAATTAATTATACATGTTAAAATAGAAAAACATTACATAGAGGGAAAAATGAAGATCTTGATCGTACAGTAGAACCCCTGTATCCACTGATTCGCTATCTATGGTTTCAGTTATCTGTGGTTTACAGTGGCCCAAAAATACCTCTTAATTTTGCATAATAATGGCCCCAATGTGCAAAAGTATATAAGTCGACAGTTCTTCAAGACCTAAAAGAAGCCGTGAAGTGCTTCCCATCAGTGAAAAAGTGATAATTCTCCACTTATTGTGTATAATTTATGAATTAAACTTTATAATAGGTATGTATAGGACTTATATATAGGGTCTGCTACTATCTACGGTTTCAGTATCCACGGCAGGTCCTTGGAACGTATCACCGCGGATACAGGGGTCCTACTGCAAGTACTAGATGGAGTAGATTCCTCAGCGTCAGAGTGAGCATATGCCGCTTAACAGAATGCTGATCGTGAAACAAGCAAAAATCTATCATGATAAACTGAATATTAAAAGCAAATGTGAATATTCAACAGGATAGTTACAAAAATTTAAGAACAAACACAGCATTAAATATTTAAAGATTAGTGGTGATCACAAAGCCTAAAACATGCTAAATGCACTAAATTTATATGAAACAACACTGAAAAAAGTGCCAGTGTACAGGCAATTATTCTAGATGACTAAATCCCAATTCTGAGTTTAAAAGGTTGTTACATCCAGAATTGCCAGCAAAAAGTTCTTTTCTTTTATCCTTTTCAGGGTTGAGACCCCTCATCTCAAACTTTCTCCCTATTTTTAGCTAATTCCATTGTTCCAGTCGACCAAACTCATAACTAGTATACCTTCTATTCTATTGGGTGAGTACAAGAACCCCTACCCCCCCCTTTTATCTATTTCAACTACCTAATAAAGTGATCAGAAATCAGAAATATGGCCAATATCACACAAAATTTAAAAACTGCCAAATTAAAAATAGGGTCAGGAATAGACAATGCACACATTCCTGGCACTAAAAAACATTTCCTTTGTTCCTCAGTCATGTCTCTAGGCCACTCTTATATTACGCTTGCTTTCCATTTTAATTTTTATTCACACAAAAAAATAGAAGATTTACTGTTATGAAGACTACTGCATTACTGTAATAAATGTAAAAATAATGTCAGTGCATTTCTAAATGCATATTAGATTGGCCAGTTAGACTCATACTGGACAAGTGACATCATTTGTGTACTCTGGAACATCGGCAAAAATCAAACATTTCCACCACTTTTAGCTCAATTTCAAGCAACTTTCAGTCTTGAAATCAATCAAAATCATCTCTACTTCTATAATATATCTTCCATACTATCAAGACCAAGAAACTGAGAGCACAACCATAAAATCTAAACAAAAATACACTGCAGAGTTGTTGTTTTAAACCATAAACACAGTTGCATTTTTTTCTCATTATGAACTGCATGCTGCAGGATTTTTTATATAATGCACACTTACTGCCTAGGCCCAAATTTACCACTCATAGCTTATCTGAGTGAGCTGAGCTCATGGTGTAGTACTACAGGACCAACACTGGCTTCAAAGCCATATTACAACTGGACCAACACCGAATGGGTTAGCTTAAATGGTCAACTACTTGTAATGAATAATGTTCAGCAATGAACAAAGATGTATTTCCCTCTGTTCTTACATGATCGCTTAATAAGTTTATTTAGGCACAGGTACACACAAATACAGTTACACAAATTATCATACATAGTCACGTATGTCCTAGGTAGTAGGTTGGTACACAGCAACCACCCAGGGAGGTACTACCGTCCTGCCAAGTGAGTGTACAACGAAAGCCTGTAATTGTTTTACATGATGGTAGGATTGCTGGTGTCTTTTTTTCTGGCTCATAAATATGCAAGATTTCAGGTATGTCTTGCTACTTCTACTTACACTTAGGTCACACTACACATACATATACAAGCATATATATACACACACACCCTTCTGGGTTTTCTTCTATTTTCTTTCTAGTTCTTGTTCTTGTTTATTTCCTCTTACCTCCATGGGGAAGTGGAACAGAATTCTTCCTCCATAAGCCATGCGTGTTGTAAGAGGCGACTAAAATGCCGGGAGCAAGGGGCTAATAACCCCTTCTCCTGTATATATTACTAAATGTAAAAGGAGAAACTTTTGTTTTTCCTTTTGGGCCACCCTGCCTCGGTGGGATACGACCGGTGTGTTGAAAGAAAGAAAAGAAAGTTACAAATGTGTATAGTATTAGCTCAGAGGTGACCTGTACTCAGTGAGGATGTGTCAAGTGTGCTCTCTATGGACTGAACCAAGATGCCCTCCATCAAGCAACTTTACCAACAGCTTAAGGAAGAATTGAGGATGGCAAAGATGGAGATTCGGCGACTAACCGAGGAAAACAAAAAGATTCGTAGTAGTCGTCCTGTTTTGAGTCCTCAGGTCAAGAAGAGAAACTGGTCAGTGGCTGGACAGCATGGAATGAAGTTGACGATCAAGAAGACGAATGGAAAGGTAGAAACGATGAAGAAGAAAGAGACTGCTGTGGAAACTGTTGTGGAAACATCTAATGCTTTCTCCGTGCTATCTGACGAATCTGAGTTGACTACTGGGAACGTCACGACGAACGACACCAAGGAAGGTAAGAATATTGTTGTTGTTGGAGATAGCCAAGTTAGGTACATGGATAGGGCATTCTGCTTGAAGGACAGGAGCAGGAGACAGAGGGTTTGCTTCCCCAGGGCTGGGATGGAGGATATAGTTAGCCATCTGGATGACATCATGAGAGGTAATGGGAGCAATCCTATTATCTGTCTCAGTGCTGGAGGCAATGATGTTGGCAGATGTAGGAGTGAGGACCTGATTAGCAGGTATAGGTCA